AGAAATATTCAAATGCTGCCTATCAAAACACATCTTTACATGTGATTTAATCAAGATTTCATGGTGTGAGATTTTATCCTGAAGAGTTCTTTTTTATTTTATTTTATTTCAGTTTTACACATAACAATTGTAATGTTGTTCAGCTGAATATGATCTTACAAGGTTGAAAATTATTCATTTTGTGAGTATGAAACAATCAGAAATTATTTTAATTTAACCTCAAGATATAAATATAGTTTCATTCCATATAATCATAAAATGCTGGTTTTATTTTTATCTCTACCCATCTACACAATCAACACAAATAGAAGTTCTAACCGCGAGTAAAAAGTTGCATATTTTAATACCATTAATACTATCGATGTGGGTGCGGGGTGTGGTGTGAGTGTGGGTTACTGTTGCTTGGAAAAGACGAAGAGACACCCACACCCCAAACCCTTAAGCAAAGGACTTTTATCGTTGACAGATGCATACTTTATGGAATACTGTTAGTTTTATTATCTCTTTTTCAGCCAAAACTTAGTAATTTTATTTGTGATGATCATAATATTTAAATTAAACTTAAACTTAAACTTACGCAAACTTAACTAAAAAATAAGTTAGGATAGAAATGAGCTTTCTATAAGGCAAAATATATATCTGAGTTAAACCTTGTCTAAGTAAAGGTTCGTTCGTAGTATTTTTCAACTTTATATTGTTGTCCATAGGTAAGTTCTCAAAAAATGAAATACTGCTTCCAAGAAATATTATAGCATAACATACACGAAAAAAGATTTCTTTGATTAACATTAGACCTTATGCGCATAGTGCACATCTCTGACGCTGAAATCTTAAAAATTAATGCCAAATAAAATTTCAATGTTCAGATTTCATAGATAAACTTCTATTAAAAAAACTATAATATTGATTTTGAATGATTATATGATGAAAAAATAATTATTGAAGAAATACTAATTTATTTTATTCGTAAAATAGAATATCAAATTTTAGCTAAATTATCAAATATCTGTTTAGTTGAATGTGAATTAAATTGATCAGATCTATAAATGAAATAATTAGATAATAAAAATAAAAGAATTCCAATATTTTAAAGATAAAATATATCCGTTAAAATTATTAGATATCAATATTAAATTCAATTGTTTCAAAGAAATTTTAAAATTAATTAAATATAATCAATCACTAATTGTTGATACTTTGTATAATAGATGACCAAAATGAAATATTGAATGGAATAAAATATATCATAAATTAATTAAAGCATATAGACATAAACAAATATCAATTGAAAATACATGTTGAATTGATTTTGATTTAGACGAAATAATGTTTAAAAATAATTATGCATAAGATCAAAGAAATGGTAGTATTGAAATACTTGATAGACTAAGTAAGCCAAAAAATTTATGTGTAAAATTATTCGATATTGACCAATGTGCATTAATATGGAAAAAATCAAATTATAATGATGATTCGCCATTAATTGGTTATTGTATTGAAAAATATGGAGAATGACGAGCTGTATCATCGGATGAAATTTGTCTAATAAGTATTGAAGAAATAAGAACAATTGTTAATAAATTAATTGACCGAGTTAAATATTGTTTACATGTTAATGTAGAAAATAAATATGATCGATCGTCACCATGCGAAACTTTTAAATTAATACTTGTTCACAATCAATTTGGTCAAACACATTTTTTTACAAAAATTAAAAATTTTCGTTCTGGTTTTTTATTTATGAATTAAAGAAAAAAAAGAAACAGATGCATCATATTATTGAATGATTCATTCAGAAAAAAAAACAAAAATCAGCTACTTTTCATGTTTAACGGTGAATGAAGAAACTTAAAACATGTAATGTTTGCATCTGGGAAATGTCGAAACATTTTTCACGTTTTTCATATTCATCATGCATAACAAAAAATCGTTTTTAATCTGCAAAACACATCAACATATTGCGGGGGAAAAGTTTTGCATGTTTTATAGATACAAAAGTTGCCTGTTTAAATATCTCCATGCACCTTTTATGATGAAAGTAGCTTGTCTTGGTATCTTCTAAATCGATATAAAAGCATTTAAATTCGTTTTCAGAGCTTCTTATATGGACTAGAAATGTTTTTAATCATAATTAAACAATATTTAAGAAGAATGTAAATTTATGCGAATAATTAACATCTTATTTCAGGACTCGTGGTTAAAAGGAAATTCGATATAGAGACTTCGATTTACATAAAAAGACTTAAATAAAACTCATTTAGTCTTGAAAATGTCCGATGTCTTACATTTAGACAATAAAAAAAAATAACTTCAAATTAATTTAACTAAATCGATACTATTCCAAGATGAAATTTCTTTGTTCTTTAATTTTTTATACCGATTAAGGAAGAAATTCTAAAATATAATTTCGAGATTGTTCATCTACACTGGAAGTACCATTTTGTTTTTAATGAAAGACTTTTAATAACATATTATATTCAATGAACACTACCATCTTGTGATGATGGAACACTATTAACAGGTTTTTTTGTGTTGAATGTCGTTTATAAGCGTGTTCATATTAGTCAAAAGTAACAAAACTAGCCATTACATAAAATTCAAACTTAATGAAAGTTGGAAAACTTATTGAAGAGAGTAAATACGAATTTCGAATAATTGTTTATAATAAAGTTTCTCAGACAGAATCAAGTACTTTATTAAGATCTATTGTTGCCAAAAATCCATTTGATAATTCATTTATTTAGTAAAAATCAATTGATTATAAATTTTTCTTATCTTTCTGAATTTTAACACCACAAACTATATTTAATTGAGCTACATTATCAATTCATATTACTATCGGTCAAATTTTATATATTTCATTTAAACTCACTGGATATCCTTGATCAGATATGAACTAAAAGATTAGATGAATTTTTTATTTTATCTGTATCAAAAGTTCGTATAAATGAATATTGAATATAAATTAATATTAAAAAAATTTGCTTATCAGTACGAAATCTTAAAATTGATACCATGCTTGCAGAATCAATTCATTTAACAATGGACGTACCATTAGATGATGATAGTTTACTGATAAGTGTATTTTTTATTGAACAATACGATATACATTGGTTCTAAAATGCTTGATGTGAATATATATTTAATTGTTTCATAAAATGATCAAAATATACAAGGAGAGCATTAACAGAATATAAAATAGATCAATCAGAATCGATAGGAATAATTGAACTATTTATTGGAAACAAAAATTCATTTGATATACCAAATAATGCGTCATGGGAACTTAAAGTTACTGGTTTAGCAAGATAAATTCGTCATTTACAATGACTATCATCAAATAATGATGTTGGGGCATTAATTCAAAGTTATTTTATTGAAAGACAAACAGAAAAACATTGAATTCGAACTATATCAATATTAGTAGAAGAAACGACTTTACAATTAATTGATTTAATTAAAGATTAGTTAACAGGAGAACTTTTATTTTTCGAGTAGCTAGTGTTAATGCAGAAGATCAACATGCACATAATCGTTCAAATTAATTTGTTACTATTAAATATCAACATAATGTTCTAACACAACCAGAACCTATTGATATAAATGAATTAACTGATCCATCATGTCTACTTTCATAAAAACCATCTATTCATGATAATGGTAGTTCAATTATTGAATATATAATCGAGCAACGTTTTAAATCGAATCCATCGAATTTATACCTATAGACTCAATAACATACACTATTGAATTTTTTCATAAAATAGAAAATTTATTAACAAATGCTGAATATACATTTCGTATTGCTTCATGTAATTAAACTTGTTTAAGTGCATATTCATAAACAGATCGACCTATAGTTATTTGAGCATTACGACAAGATATTTCATCACGTATTAAAAAATTCTTTAATATAACTTTAACTCATGGAAGTAGTCATTGTTATTTTGAAGCAACAATTATTGGTTAACCTAAATCTGAATTAACAATGAATTGAATTGATAAATCTCAAGAAAATTATGCAATATTTGTTCGATTTGAAAAAAAAAATATTGCATTTCTTTTTTTCAAGCAACACGTTATAATAATACTGATTTATATCGTTTACGAAGGAACAAATGAATATGGTACAGCAACATCATCCTTTGATATTCTTGTTCTAACAATTCCATCATCATCAGCTGCATCATAAAAAGTGATTGTGTATGATCAAGATTATGTTAGCCAGACTTGACATTCATATGCATATGAGGATGCAGATGAATTCTTATCATTTGTGATTGGAAAATGAAAAGAGCACAAAAGTTGAAACAATTCATCTAATAAATACAACATATACATGTGCTGGTTTTTGCTTTATCAAATAAATTATTATTTTAAAATATTAATCGAACATGAATAAGGTGTTAGTCAACCTTTACAGTTAGAGCCTGTTGTTATGGCTAAATCATCATATGAACATCTTAGTCCACTATAAGATCCAATGAAAATTTGATTTCATTATTCAAACAAGCTACACAGTAGCATGGTTATCAGCAAAAGATGATGATCGTGCAAAAATTACAAGTTATGTTATTGAAGACAAAAGATGTTAATCAGAGTGTGTATCTGCTTGTGAAATTATAGTTGATATACGATAACTAAAATAAGATGCAACATGTGGATGTGTATGCGTATGCGAATCCGATGCGAGTCATATGAATCATATCATTCACGTTCCTACCCCAAACTGTAGGATTGGCATTTTTTTCAATTACTCAATTTTTTTCTGTTCTACCATGGCAATGTTTTTTTTTTACATACAAGCTGCGAGGTATCCATGGGATACATAACATAGTCTGATTCATCTATGAAGCTGACACTTTTCTTTTTCTTTCTTTCTTTCTTTCTATTTTTCTCTTGTCTATGCCAGTACTCAAAACGAGAAAAATTACATAGCATTGAGTAATTATTAAATATGCAATGCAAAAGGAAACACGCATTCATTCTTCAAACTTTCTATGAGTGAAATAACAACAAAAACTGCGTCTGTCGTGCCAATAACACCAACAAAAACCCCTGTTGCTCGTTTCAATGTAGATCAACAATGTCCTATTCAATATGTAACTGTCTACAATGATCGTGCGGAAGTAACACGAGTCCTACGGCATCATTTCGACACTGAAGGTACATATGAACTCGTGCTGAATGGTTTCTCTACATTTGTTGATGAAACATCGTTACATGTCAGTGGTGGAACGGGTAAATCATGCACCATTCTTGAGGTATCGTATCAAACGCAACATGAAGATGTTGGTCTGCCATCAGATTTAACGTCTCTTGATCATCTCCGAAGTCAACTTGAAAGCGTACAAACTGAAATAGAGATTCATAAGCGTGAATTGGCACGAGTCGCGAAACAACGAGTATGGCTCGATGGACGTGCAACCAAATTAATGAACCAAGATGGACCATGCACAACCAATGATCTGGAGAATATGCAACAATTTCTCGAGTTTTATCATAAAACATTACTGAAACTCGATAATGAAACAGCACGCGAAGAAGATGAAGTCAAGAAATTGAATGATCGTCAAGATGCTTTGAAATCTCAAATAAATCAGCATGGAGCTGAAGCTGAAGCAAACCGGGAAAAGACATGTCGAGAAATGACGATCACAGTTCATGTTGCCTGTAGTCAAATTGACGTTGCACTCGAAATTTCGTATTTGATTGGGAATTGTTCCTGGAGTGCCAGTTACGATGTTCGTGTAAGCAGTACCGATGCAAATCGACAGCGAACACAACTAACGTACTACGGAATTATAGTAAGTACTCTAATCTTGAAAGAATTCCAAGAGTCTTTCATGAATCTTATTGATTTCTAGGTAAACAAAAGTCAAGAAAATTGGCCCGATGCAAATTTCTCGTTATCAACTGCAACACCCTCCTTAGGTGGAACCCCACCGAAATTAAACACACTCAGAATTGATTATTGCAAACCAATATTCACTCATAATCGGCGTATTCCTCGATCACACACACAGACCTTCGACAAACTTCAGCTCTCAGAATGTGGACTTATGGATGACAGTATGTCTGACAAACGCAAAGGAGGTGCATTCAAGTCACTTCGTGGTAAATTATCGCTCGATTATGATCCGACTATTGAAGACGAAGGCGAAGAATCTGCTGACACAGAAATCAACGTTCTCACCTCGAAAACCGAAGCGAGCATGTCCAGTACTAGCTTTGTGATTCCTCGTCGATCAACAATAGATTCTGATGTAGGTATTCTTGTTAGTATCGTCGACTACATATATATATTTTTATCTTTCCTAGGGGAAACCCCACAAGGTTACAATTGGTGTTCTAGACCTTACTTCAACATTTACATACATGGTTGTGCCGAAATTATCACTTAATGCATATCTCAAAGCGTCAACAGTGAACACATCCGATAAACAACTTCTTGCTGGATCGGCATCTGTATTTATGGATAACAACTTTATCACACATAGTTCGATTGACAATGTTTGTATTGGTGACAGGTTCGACCTTCCACTAGGCACGGATGCAAGTGTCAAAGTTGAATACAAGCCGATAAAGAAAATGGTTGATACTCAAGGTCTCATCTCAAAAGTGCACCGTGAGACGATTCGTCGTGAAACACATATTAAAAATACTAAATCAACCGAGATCATGGTATTTGTCTACGATCAAGTGCCTCTATCTTCTAATGAGAAAATCAAAGTGAAATTAGTCACACCTGACCCACGACAAAAGGAATACGCACGCAATTGCACTGTGACAATTAACGATAGGAACAATTTGGAGTGGAAATGTGTGTTGCAAGGACATGGAGAATATCGTTTCCCCTTAGATTATACGCTCGAATGGCCAAAAGAAAAACGTGTGGAATACAAGGAAGAATAGCAGTGAACTTCTCAGTACATAAATATGTTGATAGGACAGCGTTTTATTCTTAATTCATATTGTAAACAAATTAATACTTGAACATAATGTCATAGAGCATGGACATGTATTTTTCAGTTTTGAATTGTAGCAATAAACAGATCTTCTTGTCACAGTACTCTCAATATACATTAACACTCGTTTCAAGGAACATTTGGCACTAGAGTACACTAGATAGTTGAACATAGAAATCAACATGATTGAGTAGATGTTTATCTTCTGCTCGAATGATATTGGCAGAAGGCCAGATAGAAGAATTTGGATGTGCCTAAGAGACAGATCTAGACATATGCTTTCACAAACCCATCCAGATCTTTGTTGGACACTCATTTCTTGTTGTATAGAGAAGCTGCTCGCTTTGCAGATGACGCCAATTCAATATCGACTTAAAGTTACAATGACAAACTACATAGTATTGAAAAACTCTGAAGTTTTTTTCTGCGTCTTTAATTGAACTTCTAGGATTTCTAATATTGTATTCCTCCGTATGGTGGAGGAGCTTCTATTATAGTCGGAATTATACATATATAGAAGAAATAAGATGTGAGTGTTAATGTCAGAAACCGAATCAAGTCGAGCTTTGCTGGCAAGGGTTCGGTCCTTCATACTCGTGGTTTTTTTCTGTTAATTTATTTTATATGTAATTTTTTCAGAATTTATTTCTGGATTTAATAATTTTTTTAAATATAAATTTATCACTCTTGTTGTTGATGCAAAACAATCAATCAAAGGTCGTTTGATAATAGCTCTCAAGATGAGAATCTCACAAGCAAGATTAGCGTTCAGCGAATCACTTTTCGTATATGCTTATGTAAATTCATTCGCTTTTCGAAAACTAATTAGGTTCTGTTCAGTTTGTTGTCCGTCTCTCGTGGTTGCAAGAAAGACACATTCACACCCTCGAACAGTAACATGAACTGTCATAATTTATTTTCGTTTCATACCTTAATTAATAGATTATTTTGATAGAAACTTAGTTAATTATTTAGGTTCTCTTTTATGTAAACGCTGATTATTAGTTAGAACAAGAAATTATTTTCATGGAAATATCATTTTTTCAAAATACTATGTAATTATATTTTTATTATAATTTATGACCTACATAGACATCAAATCATTTTAAATGCTACAGCGTCACAATTTCTAATTTATTCAATACATCTCGCTTTTTCTGTTTTTCTTTTTATAAAGGTGTGGATGTAGGTTCTGTTTTCCTTGATGCTCATGCTAACATCTATCTCCACATCCTGCCGGTGATGATAAATGCCAAGTCAGAAAATTATCGAACAGGGAAAACAATCAACATATAGTTTCTATTGAATTTCTTATTTTTTATAAAATTAAAAACAACATATTAAAAGATTCGTCCGTTCATGAATGGATAGCAAATAATGAATATAATTCCGTTCATAATTTGTCGCAGTAATCATCCAATGGTGGAATCCCTTCTTTTAGTCCTTTACGTTTCCGAATATCATTAATAATTTGTCGAACTTTAGTTGAGTCATCAAACGGATCTTGATTTATAACTTGCCAATGATCAAATACACGTTGTGAAAGTGCTTGGTCACCTGTATTTGAACGAAGATCAGCAGTAAAACCTATGAAAACAAAAAACAAATATGAATAAAAGAATCTAGATTATTTTCTTACCAAATGATTCATTGATTGGTAAATAAGCTTTAACAATAAACATTGATGTTCCAGCTACTTGATATTCTTCAAAAACATGACCACGACGACGATTTAATACACCATAAATATTAACAATATCAACATCCGGACACTAAATACAATTATTATAACTGTATGAAAATGAAAACTTGGTTTTTAAGCGTACTTGTATTTCACATAAATAAACTGGTTCAAATAGTCGTGGTTTAGCTGTGAGCATTGATGCATAAATTACACGACGAGTTGCTGGAATAATTTGGCCGCCAGCACGATGTATAGCATCACTATAGAATGTAACGTCATGAATATCAAAACGAACACCACGAACATTTTCTTCAGCAAGTACACCCATTTTTGTAGCCCATTGAAAACCAATAATACAACTATCCTTTATTTCACTTAAATACTGTACACCTTTAGTACAATCAATTAAAAAATTTGGTCCAGTTCCTTCAGGTCCAAAACACCAAATTTTACGTGCTTCATTTATATCAAAATCATATTTTTCATTTAAATAACGAGCACGTGTTTTAACGTCTTGATGTGATGTTATTTCACGTTTATCGATATCTTCTGGTAAGCCTGAAAAATACATAGAAAAAAAAAAATTTCTCAAATCTAATAATTAAATAATTTCTTTTTACCATCAGGCATAGGCCGAGCTTTTAAGTAGATACGATTATGTTTATTAGGTGATTTTGCTAGACACATTATTTCGGATTCTTCCGAAACAGTTTCACGATAGGATACGATTGGATCAGAAATTTTTATTGGAATACCAGCAGCATGATTTTCTTCAAGATCTTTCAAACAAAGTTCTAAATGTAATTCACCAGCACCAGCTACGACATGTTCACCAGATTCTTCAATAGTGCACTGCAATTAAAAAAACAAGCATGATTCAGTATACAATCCCATCATAAATAACAGCTTTAAAAGATCGTACTTGAACCATAAGATCTGATTTAGCTAAACGTTTCAAACCTTCGATAAATTTTGGTAAATCAGCTGAATTTTTTGGTTCAACAGTAACACATATGACAGGAGCGATAGTATATTTCATTGTCTACAAAATACATAAATATATTTCATATCACCCAAATAAAGCAAACGTACTTGAAGATTGTATGCATTTTCAAATGTTGTTATTGTACCAGTTTTAACTAAATATTGATCAACACCAACAAGACCGCAGATATTTCCACATGGTACATCTTCAATTGATTCAGTATCACGACCCATCATAAGAATTGTTCTAAATATAGAATCCATACAATAAAGTATCATAATTATGTCTTGTTATTATCTATGTGGAGAAAATAAATTTAGCGAAAATAAGGCGTGGTTCCTCTTGTTATTTCAATATGATCTCTGATTAACATCTTCAAAATACCGTCTTCCATGTATTCTCATGGAAGAAATTCGAATATTGGTTACAACTGAATATATCGAAAAGAAACACCTCGTTAAATTCATCTGCTAGGGAACATCTTGTGTATCAAATGATGTACTTTATTGTTCAAATCAATCACAATCCTTGATAACGATAGATTTTCACTAACGATCTTCTTTTGCTTTTTCTTCATCAAACTTGGCTGACAATTATCGTTTTACTATCTTAAGCGGCTTCCATTCGGCGTTAAATAAAATTATTTTGATTATAATGCTTACTGGTATATACTCTACTATTGTTCTATTTTATACAAAATTACGCTAATGATTTGTTCAAAAAGTGCTTAGAACATAGGTCATGAACTCGTCACATCGTTGAACTTAGTCAGTTTTTGACTGTATAGCTTTGAGAAAAAGAGTCATAATACATGTGGGAAAATGTGTTTTCTCAAAACCAATTTGTACGCAAAAAAGAATTTTCATCGTTGAGTTTTAGCAGATTTTGCGAAACAGCATGGATTTGTTTATGGTATGCTGGAAAGAGATAAAAAGAAGCCAGAAATAATAGGCATCTCAAACACTTAAAAAAGACGTTCAGTTCTATCGGCCATATTGGGATTGAGAGCGTGGGGAGATTTATAGCCTTTGTGAGCCTTATACATCCTATAAGGAAGTATCCGAGAATTTTGAGTGTAGCAGAGTTTTTGTTGTACTCGTCAAGATCTGTCTACTCTGAATGTTTCAAAGTTTTTCTGGTAAGTCGCTCTCCAGAAAATCGTGGAAAGGGAGAGGAAATCTCGCTAGAGAAACAAAGAACTATTGGCATTTTGTTTTTATCTCGATGAACTTTTGAAATATGCTATAGAGATACAAAAATAAACTTTACATACTGTTGAATACTTTTAACATAAAGATCTTCTTTTTTGCCTGGTATATAATTAGGACCCATAATACGAACTGGTTGATTTGACTTAACAACACCCGAAAAGACACGACCGAAAGCAAAGAAATGACGTCTATCCGATGTTGGTATCATTTTTGAAATATACATCATCAATGGACCATTTGGATCACATCCTTTAATACCCCAAAACGCTTCATCATCGTGTGGACCTAAATAAATATATATATATATCTTAACTTAACAGAATATTAATTTATTTTTCTATAAACATAACTTCATAAATAAGTTCAGCACGATATTTTTGTGCAACAACAGGTGATGGTAAATGTATAACAATCATTGTAAGAAGAGCATCACCAGCTGGTAACCATTGTTTCATAACAAGTTTTAAAAGTGATTTACCACCTTGTTCTAATTCATCACGGTGTTTATCTTGTAATTTAATGTTTAATTTCTCAAGTAATTGTGTATATTCATCTTTTCTACAGTTCATAATAGCTTTGAAAACTTTGAATATAGGATCAAGAATAAATTGGCAAAATCCGCGAACATAACCTAATATATTATTTAACAATAATTTATTTTCGTTTTTGGTTTTGTTTTAGAAATAATTTACCTTCTCCACCAGTTTTTGACCATTTATTTTCTGTTGGTGAAAAAAAATTATCGCCCCATAATCGGCTCATTAACTTATCAGTTTCAATGTGAAATTTTGATGCATACATTTCAGCAAATTCTTTCAGTGTAAAAGCCCAATCATGAAGAGCAGAACCGAAACCAACTGTACCTTTTATTGGATTCACCTAAAATAACAAACTGAGAACATATTGTTTACGTTTTTAAGTACGAGAAAATTTTTAATTTATGGACACAATCGCAAACACTGTATCCACAAAAAGAAACAATATGAATTTCTTTGATCGATGAATTTTCCATTATAGTAAAAAACTATAAGGCTTCTTACTTGTAAATCACACATTGGACCATTATCATCACCATAAGTAGTGATGATGACGTTAACATTTTCAACAATACGTTGAAATGTTTGAAAAAGATCTTCTTGTTCAAGTTGTAATTTAACTAAAGCAAGATCCATTTTATTTATAAATAAAATTGGTTTAATTCGTTCAGTAATAGCTTGACGAAGAAGAGTTTCAGTTTGTAAACGGGCACCTTAAGTTGAAAAACTAATTTTTGAATAAAAAAGGAAAAAACCGTATACATTCAAGGAATAATTTTTACCTGAAACACAATCAACAACAACGAGAGCACCATCGGTAACACATAAAGCAGCATTAGCTTCCAATGAAAAATCCATGTGACCCGGTGAATCAATAAGATTAATTAAAAAACCAGATACATTAGGTTCACGTTCTTGTTTAATGAGTTCTAAATCTTTAGCAGATACTTCATAATAAAGTGGAATAGCTCTGAATATGAATTTCTATGATGAAAATTTTAGAAAAGTGGTTTTTTAATCCTACGTTGATCTAATTGTAATAGATTGTTCTTGTTCATCTTTTTGTGTATCTGTAAAACGCATTGCATCAGCCTTATGTGGAGTAATAATACCAACTTTGCATATAAGTGAATCAGTTAATGTTGATTTTCCATGACTAACATGAGCAATAACAGACATATTTCGAATATTCTTCCTTTTGCTCATCAAACTACGAATTTCATCAACAGTAAAGTTAACCTATGAGAAATATTTAATTATCTGTTTTTTTTTCTATTTTTATGACATAGAACTTACCATTTATGGATTTTTTTAATAATTAGAGTATTCAAATAAGATTGCTTAAATGTTTCGACTCGGTAAACGAGTTTCTGCACTTAAATCTATAAATGATGAATTTACGAAAGATGTGAAGACTGCAGCAGCTGTTAGCTTAGATATGCCCTAGTTTGGACGAAGAGTCAAATTGTCGAAAACACAAGTGAGGAACAAAAATATGAACAAAGTCTGAAAATTTTCAGTCTCACAATTTCTTTCATCACTACGTGCCTCGAAGCATGTTAGGTTGACTGTGACACAGTGGTGAAAGAAACGAAGCTTTTCATCTTCATTTTCTCCGACATGAATATTTTACTATTGTAACAGTAACCTTTTTTAATATCTATTCTCATCGAGTACTTAATTCCATTATGTTAGCAGTTCAACATTCGTCTCTTGATTAATTCAACATGATGTACAGGATTGACTAAAACAGAAGCAAACTGATTACAAAATATAAAGATATTGTTCATGAATTGACATTAGTTAAAATAACAAATAAACGTGAGATGAAGACAACAAAGTCAATTAAGGAGACTACTAACTAGCAAACATTTATCAATCAATCATTCAAAAGAAAATTCGAACATTAGGATCGATTTCATTTCTGTCCCAACTTTTAGCATTATTCTTGTAAGTTACGTACATTACGAAATCAATAAGATCTAATATATTGAGAAAATTTTGTTTCGAGTTGCTGTTGATTAAGATCGGTGGCGTGCATGTAACACTGTTGATGCATTTTTGCGAATGATTCATTTCTACCTTTGCAACAAGGTAACTATATACCTTTCTTATTCTTTTTCAATTTTTTTTTTGTTTTTCTTTTTCTTATACATTCTATCGCGAACGTATTCTCACAAGATGTATACGTTGCGCACAGTAAATCTTGCGCATGAAATAACATCAAAATATGTATATCACACAAAATATCGAAAAGCAAAATTAGTACAACCAATCAAATTATTTTTTTATTATAAAGTGCCTATTATGTTATATATGAGAGTAGTCAACTGGCCTGATATCTCAAAATTTATTTGTTTATGTAGCTTCAACCAAATAGAGTAGGATGTGTATAGAAGAGCTTTCTATTTGCATATCACAAGCACATCCACGTCCACGCTTAAAAACTCTCGTTCCTAGTAGTAATATATAGATCTGAAAGTAAAAAAGTCACATTTTTCTGATAACTGGCTGAAGCTTTTGGTGTACCAGAACGGCTGACCACACTCATATACCTACAGAGTATGCCATATGTCTGCATAACTCCATTTCTTAATCAGACTTAATCTAATAATTTTTTTTTATATGGACGAGCAAACCGGCAAGTTTTTTCTATAAAAACAAAGTTCATCAATACTCTTCAAAAGTATTACATTTGACTTCAATACATACACAAATTTAAGTATTTTATAATTTTCGAAAGAAAATGATGCAAAATTTCTTTTTTATTATATTGATTTCTTTCGTTTTTCATTTGATTTGATGTGGACCTATAGATAGAATTTCAATGGTGTTAAGTCTAGCGCTTGAAGGATTCGTAATATTGGTACATCTCTTCTGATTGATTGGTAATTGATAATGAAACACTAATTCAAGACAATTATGTTACTATACTCCAGAATTCCTTTTATGTGATTTTACAGAAGAAACGATTGAGTAACTCCATCATTTTTCAGCTGGTATAGCACCATCCGATTTCTTGAAATCGATTCGTGTCTGTATGAACGAAATGTACGATGACATGTGAAAGCGAAAAGTTGTAACAATATCATGGACCACTAAATCGCTAGATTTAACATTATTGGACTTCTATCTATGGGTACATATCAAATCAAATGTCTACAAAATAACCACAAAAGATCTCTATAATTGAAAAACTCGAATAACGAAAGAAATCAATGTAATAAAAAAGAAATGTTGCATAATTTTCTTTTGAAAATTGTAAAATACCTAAATTTTTGTATTAAAGTCAAAGGTAATTCTTTTAAAGAGTATTTATGAATTTTGTCTTTATAAAAAAAAACTTGCTGATCTACTCTTCCATATAAAAAGAATTATTAGATTAAACTTGATTAATAATCGAATTATACGGAAATTTTAAGTTATTCAATCTTTATAATATTCTGTTCTAAGTTGATATAGGCATGATATTGAATTCATTTTAGTCTGACTTCATAGCATATAGTTTACTGTCGAACAATGAATTGAAAGACATTTATAGCATGACTATCGAATTATTGCTGAAACAACTGCCTCTAATTATAAATTAAGTGAATTTTACTAAATTATTTTCTATCAATACTCTTACAAGTTCATTTTGTTTTGCATCTTTCTTCAACGTTTTACCAATGCATATCTGTCATCGAACAACGACCAAAAACTATGAGTTTAGATTCATTAGAACATATTCTACTTATTGAGAATTAGGAATTTTCGACTCTGAAACCCTTCTTAGTCAATATTATCGATGAGGTCTTATTTTTTAAAGTTTTTATTATTAACATCATCAAGTATAAAAAAGCTCAAACTATCCGAGTATGTCAAAATGAGTTTGAATTACTTGTCTTTAATCGTGAATATTATGCGAAATCATTGTACTATCCTAATTTGTGATCAATATTCATCGTGTGACTTCGTCTAGATATGATTATTAATATAACTATGATTTATTTCAATATATTCTATCGTATTAATTTCTTTACTAAGTAGACGTTTTCCTTTTAACAGATCAACAAAGACAAATATTGATGAAACTCTAAGAATTTTATTTTTATAACATATAGACTTTAAAAAGAAACACACGATTCTATCTTTGTCTTGTTAGATTCATTTGTAATAATATTTCTTGACAAGTATATTTCCTATATGATCTTATTGAAATTGAAAATTGATCGAATAAAAATAAAGATTCTTCATAAATGTACTTCTAAGTTATTTATCTTTCTAAAAAATTGACAAATATCTTGAAAATGAACTTCATCCTACGAGAGAAATATGTATCCAGAGACTGTCGAAGACATTAAATCTATTTATAGGATGTGAGTGTGTATCTTGTTGAAAAGAAGATCTACACTTACACTTGAGAAAATCAAAATTGACATTTTCTATGTTTTTCACAAGTATTCGATTGTATTCTAAATGGACATGCCAGAACAAGATGACAGAGCAAAATTAGGAACCTGAGGACAATAGATGGAATTGGCAGGATCGAAAGCATAGTAAAGAGAATGCTAATTCAAACCCAAATATAATATTAGCTAAAAAATCAGAAAATTTAGTTGGTTACATGAAATCAATCAAATCATTTTACATTGAAAATATTTTTCATTCTCTTTATTTGACTGCGAGAAAGGTTCAATTCAGTTGAAGTCTGTTTGAATAAGCAAGGTACATGAAAAAATATTCAAGATCATGATGGCTACTTTGTTATTTTGAACAATATTTGAGGTTTACCGAAACTTGGTCATTTGAATGTAAACAATGTTTATTATAAAACTAAACAAATCGATCATCAACGTTGATTGTTAGACACCGAACCGACATGTATAATATCGAACGAGTCTCTTGTGCTCGTTCTTTCATGATTAAGTCCATTGAAGATTAGTTTTTCCTTAGCACAAAAATCTACAACTCAAAATATGCGGCAAAATTTCAGTCAATTTAAATCGATTACCATTTGATATGTTTTTAAATTTTTATTTATATTCGTTTTTCAACTATTCCATTATTATCAAATCTTGTTACATGTTACTCTTTTGAATGATTATTTTACTGTTGGATATCGAAAAAAATTCACTGATCAACTGTTAGCATCCAATTGATTTACAATTTTACAAGTTGCATCAAGAATTAAGCGCCCTCTCGCGCATCGTTTTTTTTTTGCATTCGTCCGTTCTTTTCCCAGGTAGACTTCAAAGGAACACAGGTGCATAAACATCGTTGTTTACATCACTTTCTTTATTTATTGGGTGCAACGAACCAAGGACACTATTTTTGTCTCTATCTTGAAGATCCACAACAAAATAATCGATGCTCTGGTATCGGATGATACCATTCAGTACGATTGGAATTCCACATCTTTATGTTCCGTATGTTTCTATGGGTCTATCTGTCAGTTTACTACTTCTTACTATAGTATTTCATTAGAGACTCTTCTGTATATTTCTATCAAACCAGTGCAAATGATTATAGGTATACTTGTCTGTGTTTTTGTGAGCACGATATGCAACATTTTGTCGATCATCACATTTTGTCAAATACAAACACGTGAAATGGGAAATGGTATATACCGATTATGGATCTTGATCGTAGGACAAATTGGTACGATGACACTTGCCATTCGTTTACTTCTTATTTTTGTCACAAAAAGTAGTCAAATAGTCAGTTGTTTTGGTTTAGATTATCTTATTTCTGTTTCGACTGCACTTTATTATTCATTAACGGCATGTGTAGCTATTGAACGTACAGTAGTTGTCTATATGAATTTATTATTCAGCAAAACACGAAGTCGAAATGTTGCCAAAACTATCATTCCAATATTGATCGTCTATCATTCTGGGATCGCGATTCATGAATTTTTCCAGCGTCATCTGCTTTCTGATCGTCATTTCTCAGATCGCTTGTGGTGTTCACTATATCAGAAGACCCGCGTTCTTAGTATTTATACTAAGGTAACGAATGTTGTTCATCTTCTATTTTCATACATCATCAATCTGATCACACCCATATTAATGCTTACTAAATTAACAAAAGACAAGGCAACAGTGAACGAAAATGCTACGACATGGTCGAATATTAAAAATGTTTTAAGTGTATATAAAAACATTGTGATCACTCCTTATATTATTGTTCTTTTGATAACTCCTCGCATCATTCTTACATTTTTTCTGGCATGTATCACACATTCATGGCAGAACATAATGTATCTCGCCGCCTACTTTCTATCACTAATGCCACTCATGGCATCTATTTTCATCTTTGTCTTTCCGTCACCTCATTTCCGACAAGAACTTCGACAGACCATCCAACGTGCCACTGGATACGTGTCTGTTCGGCAATATACTTGAGCATCATCTGTATGTTATTTCTCTTGTTATCCTTTTCATTATACAGTTTCAATGATGTGCATTTCTATGTTACAGGACAAATTTAAATAGTTTCATATATGTGTGTGATAACGTTGTTCATGGAACATCAGTGCTGTCGTTTGACTTAATACAGAATTTCTTTATTGTTTATTTTCACTCACGTTCTGCTTGCAAAGGGGAAACTAATTCAAATAATAATCTTTCAATTGAAAGTACAATTTTAAATCGCAGATTTTTTATCTGTGTTTCAAAGTTAAGCTCACAAACATAAAATCATTTTTTCGTTTCATTGTTTCATTATAAATGTTCTATTCTGTTAAATGTGATCAAATTAAAGTGTTTATGTTGGACAAGTACAAACAATTTGAAAGAGTAAGTCAAAGAATCGTGCGAAAGATTGTATTCTCGATCGATTTGTATTAATCAAAGCTTCAAACAAGTGGGATTTTTCCACACTTCGCGAATATGTGTGACAGATCAAAATCTTCTTGAGCATAAAAGTCTGTGATTCTGTCTTGATTTCAATCATTATCAGAAGAAGAATTCTATTGTTAACAAGTCAAACGTTTTCTGTTTTCTAATTCAATCATCTAAAAAATGGAACGTAACCCGAACAAATATGATTCACTGAATAAAATATCTACGAAGAAAACAATCCACAAATGCATAACAAAGTAATATTCACGATAAAATAATTCGAACTTAGACATCTTTATGATGAAGAGGTTCAACTACAAAAAGCCACAAACTACATACATAGATAAACTTGATATAAATTCAAGGTCAAATTAGATATCATTCAGACCGATGGAAATTTCCTAGAACAAACGAAAAACAAGAAATTTGGCTCCTCTCCTCGAATGATTCGGCTGCATTGAATATATTTTATGGTGCTTGTTCGAAGCAAACAGACTCACCGATTTTTGACAAGTTTCGATCTTAACGGAATGAGAAAACAATGATATCAATTCTCGTTTCAATTTCTTTCATACATCTATTTTCGAATCCATTGTTGTTTTGATTTTCGAATTGCGTCAAAATGTTATATTCATGTTCTCCAACAAATTTTTTTTTCATTGATCATCTCATCTCATGTCATCTCATCCATTGTGCCTCGTGGTCCCAGTCTTTGCCAATTCACACAATTAGAAACATTTCCATAGTATCAGCTGTCGTTAAATTGGATAAACCCATGTAAACACCAGACGCAAAATATACGCGTCTAATCGCAGTTTGTTAGTAAACCGCGTTCAGACGCAGTAAAAATCGATTTTTACTGCGTCTGAACGCGTGTTCATTTAGCACCGCGT